CCAAATCAACAACTCTCCTCTCTCCAAACCCAAGCATATTTATCGGCAAGAATATGCCGGCGGATAGCTTCTCATGATATACAAATTCACTTTCATGGGGGTTTCCAGTGAGCGGATCCCGTTATTCCATCAATCAGACGCTGAGGAATTGGTCGTCATGGCATCTCGACTCTTCTGCTACCCCACATCGTGACATTGAATGAGGTCTCATGAGAGAGTCTACGGAGGAGGGGGAAAAAGGGACCAGCAAAAGGGACAAGCTATAAAGATTGACGTTCCCAGCTTCAATCTCTATTTAGCCTCAATTGATTCCTTATAATCTTGACGATTCTGTATTTCTTCTTCTTCTTTCACGTTGTGATCCTCTCATCATAACTCCTCGCGCACCATTGAAACCTCCCCCTCTCCCCGCGTTCGGAGCTCACCCCACCTCAAGTGTGTCCCTCATGCTTCACTGAGCTCTCTCATACTCGACAATTACCTGCAACTTCGAATAAATACACAAATAAACCGCAATCATGGGTGAAATCACAATTACAGGCTGGAAGACTCGCGATGTTCGCTTTCCGACTTCTCTCGACGGAACTGGCTCCGATGCCATGAACGCGGCTGGCAACTACTCCTCCGCCTACTGCATCATCGAGACAGACTCTGAATACACCGGTCACGGAATGGTCAGTACGCAATTGCTCCAGAGGCTGTCTCAATTGTAGCTGACTTTGTATAGACCTTCACCATCGGCCGTGGAAACGACATCGTCTGCGCTGCCATCAACCACGTCGCCGAGCGTCTTAAGGGCAGGACACTCTCATCCCTCGTCGCAAACTGGGGCCAGACATGGCGACATCTCGTCAACGACAGTCAGCTCCGATGGATCGGTCCCGAGAAGGGTGTCATCCACCTCGCTCTCGGTGCCGTCGTCAACGCTGTCTGGGATCTCTGGGCCAAGACCCTCAACAAGCCCGTCTGGCGCATCGTCGCTGACATGAGCCCCGAGGAGTTCGTCAGCTGCATTGACTTCCGTTACATCACAGATGCTATTACTCCCGAGGAGGCTGTCGCTATGCTTAAGGAGCAGGAGTCTACCAAGGCTAAGCGACTCGAAGAGGCTCTCAACAACCGCGCTGTGCCCGCTTACACAACGAGCGCTGGCTGGCTTGGATACGGGGAGGATAAGATGAAGAGTCTGCTTCAGGAGACACTAAACGCTGGATACAGACACTTCAAGGTCAAGGTCGGTGGTGACATTGAGCGCGACCGCAAGCGTCTAGGCATTGCTCGTGAGGTCATTGGTTACGACAAGGGCAATGTTCTCATGACAGATGCCAACCAAGTTTGGTCTGTTCCCGAGGCCATTGAGTACATGAAGCAGCTCGCCGATTTCAAGCCTTGGTTCATCGAGGAGCCTACATCCCCCGATGATGTCCTCGGTCACAAGGCTGTTCGTGACGCCCTTAAGCCTTATGGCATTGGTGTCGCCACTGGTGAGATGTGCCAGAACCGTGTCATCTTCAAGCAACTCCTCCAGACCGGTGCCATCGATGTGTGTCAGATCGACGCCTGCCGTATGGGCGGTGTCAACGAGGTCCTTGCTGTCCTCCTCATGGCCAAGAAGTTTGGTGTGCCTATTGTTCCTCACTCCGGTGGCGTTGGTCTTCCTGAGTACACACAGCACCTGAGCACCATTGACTATGTTGTTGTCTCTGGAAAGCTGTCTGTTCTTGAGTACGTGGACCACCTCCACGAGCACTTCTTCCACCCTTCTGTTATCAAGGACGGTTACTACACCACTCCTGTGGAACCTGGCTACAGTGTCGAGATGAAGCCTGAGAGCATGGATCGATTTAGCTATCCTGGTGAGAAGGGTGTGAGTTGGTGGACTTCAGATGAGGCCAAGGTTATTCTCGATGGTGAGAAGATTTAATGACTGGTTGAAAAGGATTGGATAAAAGGGTCTGGTGTTGTGTATCTAAAATGCCTCCATAAGCGGAATATCATGAATTTATGAGTAATCAAATCTAAAGGGCCTCTCTGTGATTTTGGCTGGTTATAGGCCTAGCTGTTGATTTATGAATTGTGTTATGTGTCCAAGTTCTTCAGGACAGTACCAATGCTTCAAGACTGGGTAAGTCTTTAACTCGACTTTTGCCCCCATCCGCTCCAGGCATTTGGCGGCACTTAGTCCGTGACGATACTCAACATCCTCGTCCTTTTTACCATGTCCCACGAACACAGAAGTTCTCAGGAAAGGGAAAGATGTTGTTAGTGGTGTAGGATCAAGCTCTGCTTCTTCACGAAGCTCGTCGATTGCCCTTTGCAGTGGAGTTTTTGCTTCCTCTTCACTATCCCTTTCGAACAATCCGTCTTCTGAGGCATCATCATCTGTCTCGTCTGCCATTAAAGTCTCCGCCAAGGGCATGAAGCCACTCATTATAACCACCGCGCCCAGACTCTGGCCCTCCCAAAGCAACCAACTCATCAATGCCATTGCACCGCCTTGGCTGAAACCAATCAACACTACTTTTCCTGCATTCCCCCTCAACCTTTCTATTTCGTCTTTCAATAACTTATGGATATACTCAATGCTTGGTCGCATGTTCCCACGCGCCTCGGGTTCCCAGTCACCGGTTCCTTCATACCACTGATGAATAAGTGACCGGCGATACTTGGTCGCCCGAGCAAGAGGCGCGGTCGGGAACACGAAGCGAGCATGCGGGAGTGATTGACGAAATGATATTGATGGATCGGGAGACGGAGATGCAAGAAGAGGTGAGTGGAACTTCTGTGCGTTGAAGCCACGGCCATGAAGGACGATGATTGTGAGTTTATGAGGTAAGATAAGAGGAGAAATGGTTACCAGTGGTGGAAATTCTCCTGGTCTGAGGCGAGACGAGTTTCCTGTAGCATGTTCTGCTGACATTTTTGTTGATATTGATATTAATTGAGGTGCATACATGTAGTGTATAAGTGAGGTTGGTGATAATTGATGAATGTGTGGTGACTTATGAGAATTGCCAGAGCTTGCTAGTGAATGAGAGGAGCTGAACACCACCAGATGACGAAGTTTTCATTTTTCATGCTTCAATACTGAATTCAGAGCATTTGGTTTCTCAGTCAAAATAGTTCTCTGGTCTTCTCATACACATAAGCCATTCGTCGTGCTGTGTTGATCTCACCACTTCTACAGGGTCTCATTAGCGAACGTGTCACTATATTCTACCCCACGCAACGCACACCCCTTCAGCTCAACCTCACAACACCAACTTCACACGCTCATTCAACCCTCCACTCACGATGGGTCTCCTTAACCACGAAACAAACCCAATATCTTCTCTAACAGCTGCCTTCTCTGCCTGGAAGGGTCTTCTCCTGGCCATCGCTCTCGGTGCGTCTGTAGGCCCAGACTACGATACTTCAACCTCTCTCTTCTTCAACATTGTCCATGGCCCGACAACACCTGTTCCTGCTCTCGCTACTCGTCTGACGAGATGGGACGCGCTGTATTTTATGCACGATGCGGTGAAGGGCAAAGTGTATGAGCAGGAGTGGGCGTTTGGCATTGGGCTGCCAGCCGTTGTACGTGGCATTAATGTGTTATTTGGACTTGAGGAGGGCTGGGATGCCATTATTGCGATTGCCATCTCACACGTTTCTCATCTTATTACTGTTCTGGCGCTGTACCAGCTCACTATTGTGCTATGCAATGATCGGAAACTTGCATACTTGGCTGCCGCCGTGCATATTCTTTCACCTGGCGGCCTCTTCCTTTCAGCACCGTATGCAGAGAGCACATTTGCATGCCTGTCCTTTGTGGGCAACCTTCTTTTTGCTTTGGGTCTGAAATCCAGCCCTGACTCAATGAGGCGCAATATTTCCGTCATTGGAGCAGGGTTGTTATATGGGGTTTCCTGCGTGTTTCGAAGTAATGGACTCTTTGGCGGCGTTCTCTTTGCGGTGGAAGCCATCAAAGGCCTCACAGCACTTCTTGGCGGGTTCAGTTTCTCTAAAGTTCTAAGGCTAGTTGCACCTATTATTGGTGGGCTGTTCGTTGCAGTTGGTTTTGTTGCGCCTCAGATTCTGGCGTGGATGAGGTATTGTAATGTCCAGGATAATGGACAACAACGCCCCTGGTGTACACGCCCTCTCCCAAGCATCTACACTTTCGTTCAAGAAGAATACTGGTATGTGCTCACAGACGAGTTAAGTGGTGAAAGCTAACAAAAATAGGAACGTTGGCTTCCTTAGATATTGGACACCCAATCAGATCCCTCTCTTCCTCCTTGCAGCTCCCATGCTCACGATCCTCATCAAGTCAGGAACAGAGGTCGTGCGAGAACCTTCGCGAGGCCTTCGAGCCATGATTTCTGGCACAGATGAAGAGTGCAGGCTGCTCGTAAGAACTCTAGCCGCTGTGCAAACTCTTCTCGCCGTCTTGGCCATCACAAACTATCACGTCCAAATCATAAGTCGTATCTCATCTGCGTACCCTGTGTGGTACTGGTGGGTCGCTTCGTGTCTCGTGGACAAGCAGAGACAGAATTTGGGTTATGGTGTAGTTGTGTTTATCAGCATGTATGCCATGATCCAAGGGGGCCTCTTTGCATCCTTTTTGCCGCCTGCCTAAGACAGTGCTGTGTATACTTTCTGTTTTTGAGTTGAGCTGGTTCTTTCTAGAGCCTGATTCGGCGGTTGGGCAGCTCAATGGATTCGACATGGCAGCGAAATAAGGATAGAGTTGAAATTATGAAAGCTTTGTATCCTCACACTTTCATTCTCTCAAGTTAATAAGAGCATATGCTGCATGTCAAGGCAGCAAAGGAGGTTGCTCTGTTATTGGTAAATATTAAATCTCTACATAAAGACATGCTATCGCATCTTACTTGTCTTTTCTCTTCCATCTTTTAAATATCTGTCAGTTCTCATGTTCGTCACCCCCAGTTACGCTTGCACACACTCGCTCCATCGACGTTTCTCTGCTTTATCCCCAACCAACTCCCAACATGTCAGCGACAGGTAAGTTGATAATGATCATTATTCGGAGACACGTAAAGCCTGACCAGTAACCACCAGGACAACAGCCGAATCAACAACAAGAGCATCGATCCAACGGATCTTCCTCTACTTCAACTATTGTACTCGGGCTGCTCTCTCCCCCTCCAACTCCCCCTCCCTCAAATTCCGGTCTTCCACCTCCCCCATCTCAGCCTCCTGATACAACTCCTGACAACGGAACTGGAAACTGTATTGAAGTGTTGGTTGAGAGTAAGGAGGCTGAGACCGAGGTGGTTGAGGAACAAGAACCGGACGATGACACAACCAAAACCATTTCTCCTGTAAGTTTTTACTGTGACTCACTTTTGCGACCCTCTTTTCTAACAAGTATGCAGCCCCCTGAAGCAACAGCCGACTTCAAATCTACTGTCAAGGCTATTTTTCTACGCTTAATAGCCCTTCCGGGTGACTTGCGGGCTGTTGATCAAAACCAAGCGAGTACAGCATGCCAACCTTCTTCTTGATGAAGCCTATTGCAGAGTCCCTAGAGATCATGGCAATAGGGTTGCACCCTTTTTTTATTTTAATTTATCATCTATCATGAAGTCGTGATAAGGACTGGGCGAATGGGTCGCTCGGGGAAAGTTGGATAAGAAGCCCGCGTCTTCCATACAGGGAATATATCTTTTTGAGCGGCTTGGAGTATATATCTCGACTCATTTCTATGGGCAGAAGCATAATACACTCTTTTGATATATAATTTATGACAGAACGCGACCCAAATCGTGTTCTCACCAGTAAAGTCCCATATTATATGTAGCCATCCAGCTCTCATTGTTAAAGCTCGTTTTCTTTTCCCACGGGACACTTGGGCTACGCAATGACATTTTCTTCCCGTTTCTAACAAATTCTTCGGTCCAACATCCGAGGATGGCTCCAACCGTTATCAAATTCTAGTAATCTGGTTTTATTATTCATAGTCAAAGTAAATAGCCATAGCTACACAAAAAGAACGAGAGCTACTCAAACAGCAAGGCCACTGAAAACTGAAAAATGATACTTGTCTATTGAATAGTTGTCATGAGACTAAGACATGTCATGAATGCTAAGGTGGACTGTGTTATTGGGTCAATATGCAATTTCATGAAACGCTTGTATTATTACTCATATAGAAGAACTGTTCTGATCGCTGTAGACCCTGTTACCATCTACATGAAACCAACAACGACAACGCCTTTAAACACCCGAATGCACCGTGCTTGTATGTTAATCCACCCATTCGCTGACTCTACTCAAAAATGAAACCAAGGCCTCACGTACAAGCCCTTAGTACGCTTAAGGTGTCAAGCCCGATTATTCCTTGCGCTCGCGTTTTGGCATGTGGGAACACCTGGTTCCAAGCAGGCGACTCTGATTTTGGTGATTTTCAAAATCGTTCATAAAATAGATCGCTTAAGCCGTGTTGCGCCTTTCGTTGTTGTGAGGTCACCGCTCCGGAGATGGCCTAGATCCGGAACTTCCAGAAGGTTCTCCGTTGCTGTCTTGACCTTCTTCCTCCTCTGTATCTTGTTCTGGGACAGTTGGCAACGTAGTTCTCCTTTCCCTGCTCCCTGTAGAGCGTCTTGCGCGTCGAGGGTATATCCGAACTATGCGTCGCATAAAGAGGCGCTCATACTAAGACTCTTCTTCCTCCGAGTCACTGTTATCATTAATCCTGATAGCTCGCCATCTCCTATCGGTCAAGTCTTGTGCAGCAGTTCCTTCACTCTCTGGGTCGACATAGCCCTGACCGCCAGCGATACTTAGCGCAACGGGCAAGAAGACTAGGGCGTGGAGGGCAGCGAAAATGACCAGAGACAGCCAAACTCGGAAGTAATAGATCTCGAAGATCTTTGATCGCGTGAAGGCGAGTACAGAGACACCAAGAAGCTTCGTGACGGTGATGCCCGAAAAGACAGATCCTCCGACGTTAACAAGAGCAGTCCAAGCCCTGGCATCGCGACCACGGAAGGCATTGCTATTGCCTTCCATCACTGTGCGGGAAGGATACATGAACGCACGGGCGATATGAGCACAGAATTCAACAGAAATGCCAACGCAAATGATGAGATTGACCAGAGAAACAGCATTCAGAGACACGTTGAACAGTGCCATGCTACCCATGATATCCACAACGCTCATCACAACTGTGACAGAGACCACAGCTGCCGTGAGTAATGAACCCAAGAGGACGGTCGCAACAGCAAAGATTATGCCAACAGCGGCACACAACAATACAGCTGTCAACGATACAATGCTAAGATATTGGTCAAAGAAGATGTAGAAGACGCTGTAGGGGAAAACATCCGCGCCTGTTCTTTCTCTGATATCAGAAGCGATGCGACGAGCTGCGGAGTATGCGGCAATAAAATCTTCCTGACTTCTCAAAGGAGTATGCATGGTTCTGAAGTGTGTGGACTTGACATGGTTACCCTTATCATTAAGAACAACAGCCTGGCCATACGCGGCCTGGCCAGCGAGAGGGCATTCATCGCCGGTAGGGCTTGAAAGAAACTTCTTGAGATAATGAATGAACTCTTCATCCTCAGGCATGCCGTAGAGTGTAGTATTCCATGCTGGCTTGCGATCAGCAAAGCAGGTTTGGCCATGCTCCACACAGCATTGGTCATAAATGGGATTTAACCAGAGGAAGAAGTCGTCAATCCAACTGGCGGCGGGTGAAGAGATATAAGAAATATCTGATCTCTGTCGTTCAAGCTCAAGTGTGTTCGTAAGAGAAAGATCCTGGCAAGTCGTGAATCTCGAGCAAATTTCTTGCTGCTGTTCTCGCTTGGAGGCATCAACCTCGCGGGTCACGAAATACACTGGGGGTCCAGTCTCCAGATACTCGTATAGGTCATTAAAGTAGGGGATCAGGTAAGAATCATCAGGGATAGCAACTCGCTGATCAAGGCCAAGTTGGATCTTGGGTAAAAGCGCCAGTCCACCTGCAAAGAGCCCAAGGAAAATTGTAACGACGGCAAGCTTGACCTTCTTCCCAAGGAGTCGTGGAGCATATGTGTTCTTGATGAAGACCTGCAGCAAGCTCTCTTCGGCCATGTCTGAGCCACGGCTACTTCCCTGAGAAAAGCTGCTGGCCCCATTAAGGTGGATTCTAGCCTTAGTGATCTGCCACCAGGGCCACAGTTCACAGCGATGGTCTTCAACCCGCATCTGGTTAAGGGAAAGGAAGGAGACGAACATGGTCATCTGAAGCACGGCGTTGACAAAGACAGCACCTGCAGCGTATGCAGCGAAGTTCCTAACAGCCGGCATGCCAACGGCGGTGCCGAGAGCAAATGCGACGGTTTCTGTGAGAGCAGAAAAGAGAATGGAGGGTCCCATACGGCCCAGGGCTCTTGCAACTCGCTCCTCGACCATTTGGTCAGGAAAGCTGACATTGACTCTCTCGAGTTCATGGACAATCAGGAAAATATTGTCCACGCCAACAGCCAGAACAATAAAGGGAATGACTTCAACAATGATGAGTGTAGCTTTTAGACCAACCCATGAGAAGAACCCGATAGAAGCAGCAATCGACATGAGGACAATAAGAATTCCTACGAGGCCAAGCGTTACCTTGGACTCAACCAAGAGCACAGCAGGATTGCGGAAGATATGCTTGAGGGGGGTTCCAAGCGCCATGCAAGCGTAAATAAACATAACGATGTAACTGATGACGATAATCTTTGCGTCTGTGTTAGTCGACTTGTTAAGTTCCTGCTCGAGACTAATCTCAGTATTAAAGGACAGGCGAAGGCCACGCTCCTTGGCTTCTTGTTGAACCTCGAGGAGTCGGTCGCGAAGGGAGTTTTCCCAATCAACAGCCCTTGCAAGGGCATCAGTTCCCTCTTGAGCATTGTTAACAACCCAGGTCACAGTGATAGCATGGGCGTCAACCACATCGTCGTCGTAACCACCAAAGATCATGTTGGGCTCGATGGGTTGTCCAAAATCTGGTCGACAATCCACGGGGCTCTTGGCGCATGCGCGGAGGTCCTCTTTCCAATGCTTGGGGTCAAATCCACCCTTGGCGTGCCAATAGGCTGAAACAGACTGCACGACACAAGCATCGTTGGAGGGTTTGAAGCAGAGATCCTGGAAGTATTTTCCATAGACAGGGCTCTCGATCTTCTTGACGCTCTCCTCAACTTCAATCCACCATTTCAGGGTATCGTAAGTTAGAACAGGTCCTGGCCCAGAAGGATCTGTATCGTTCACAAGAAAGACCTTCTCGGCACGGTAGAAGGGTCCGAAGTTGCTGTCGAAGTAGGCCTTCTCTTGTGCAGCAGCAGAAGAGGGGCTCACCCAAAGGCGGGCAGGTTCGTTCTCAAGGTCAAAACGGAACAATCCAACACTAAGGATGGCAACGAAGAGCAGGCTTAGACCAATGCACCACCCAGGGAATCGAGCTGCAATGTGACCGAGCTGATAGAAAGCCTTGTCGCACTTATCGTTGACCCAGTATCTCTTAGTTGGGCGTTCACGCATCGCCTCCGTGTCAACTGGACCGCCTTCGTCTTCATCATCGCTATGCGAAGATTCATGCAACAGTCTTGTCCTTTCAACACGATGCTGAGAATACTTTTTGTATGCGATGTGGCCAAAGACGGCGAGAATCAGAGTTAACAGCAAAACACTATACACGAAGATAGAAGCAAATGAGAGGCAAGGCAAAAGACCGACTCTGCAAGACTTTGAGTCTTTGACGTCTGGGAGCTTCGGGCAGACACCGGGGCAGTCGACACATACGCAGCGGTAGTCGGGGTCCTCATCATCGCATTTCTTCGGTGTCATGTCCAATGGGTGGAGGTCGCGGTCGCTGTAACCAGTCGGAAAGTTGATCTGGAAAGGAGAACCGACCAGAGGTTTCTTGTCTCCAAGGAACTTCAACATCTCGGTATAGTTCTTAGCGCCACCACCAATCAAATCCATCGCCTTGCTGTTTGCGCCGCCAAACTTGACTTCCTTGCAACTGTCATAGAAACCAGAGCCATATTTCTCTGAAATGAGCTGGTCGAGTTCTGTTACGAGCTGCTTGCCATTCTTGGGGGCAGAATCGGTCACGTTGATAAAGAGAGACTGGTCCGGAGAACATGTGAATGTACAAAAGAGGTTGAAGAAGTTGTCTTTGCAAGCTGGACAAGACCCAATGAGTGTACTTGGTGCACCAAGCTCGGACTTGAGTGCTTTGACCTATTTATCGCAAATTAGCAGGTAGCATGGAGGTTCGTGGGATATGCTCACTTGATCCAGGCTACAGCAAACAGGTCCGGTCTTCCATTTCTGGCCGCAAAGTTCGACGAGTTCGTTACGAAGCTCTTCGTCGGGATCTTCAGCCAAACCATTGTCGACACAGGGAAGTTCTTTGCCGAAAAAACTCTGCTTTCCACAGTGGCCGCGGAAGGCGCATCTTCCAGCTTCATGTTTCGGAGTATACTGCTCAGCGAAGCCGAGGCCAGCAAGAAGAGCAGCCACAGCTCCTAGCTGAGGCACGATGCGTTGATGCATCTCGAAGTTAGGGAGCCGCACGCGGCGGGGGTTATGTATGAAGTCGTTTGCCTACTTGGTCGCGATCGAAGTTTCGTGCGGATATCGCTCTCAAGTTGACGTACGACAGGTACGGTACGACGATAAGTGTGGGATGATGACGAAGGTTAAGATGTTCGAGAAGCAATCATAATAGATTGTAGAATTGAAGTTTAGAAATGAACAACGTGACTCAGGTGGAGGTGAAACCCTAAAGGCGACGCGTCGACAAAGTAGGCGCAACCGAAACGGTTGTAGGTTCAGACTTGGAGGCAGGTGGTGATGTCGTAGCGCAGCAGCAGCAGCCGTAACCGTAGTAGGTAGCTCAGTGACGGCTACAATGGAAAGCTTGAATGGGGCCCCGATGGCGGGCGCTGTAGAGGTCACGGACCTGCGTCATTGGTTTCTGTGGGTCCGGTCTGCGTCTAATTCGCCAGCGTGATTAAATGGGTGGTCCTTGTGGTCTAAGAGGCTGGGGTTAGAAGCCGGGGTTGACCTTAGCCGTCGCATTAGCTACAGTCAATGATTCATTCGGAGTTTATCTACCCTAGAGACGAATATGTGAATTTACTTGATCTTTCGCATAACATAGAGGTAGCAGTGATTGAAATCATGGTCAGTAAGGTTTATCTTCTAAGTGCGGTCTTTAAGTCTATTCATAGGTGCAAGATTTCTATAGGTGTCCCTGCCAGTCCAAGAGTCGTATTCATGTATCTGAATATACAAATATCACATATTAGCAGAAGGCAAAGATGCTAGACTCTTTACTTAGATACCAACCATTATGTGTACCTAAGGGAGCATCCTATGTAATGCAACTCTCAATCCTGAGCCACCTACTCACTGTCATATAAACTTAAAAGAATATATAGGTACTATTTTTAGGTAACACTAATTGCTCCGAACCCAAGGGTTTAACTCAGATAAACATTAACGCAGTAGTACAGAAAACCACCATAAATTAAGAGCTTGCTAGACAGATAAATAACTTCCATTAAGATCGCCTAAGCCTGATCACAAAGCAGCCGAGTTGGTCCTACCATAGTTCCATAAGATATGAACTATGGGACATTCTCGCTCAGGCATCCCCCAATTTTCCACCAGCACAGGCCCGTATAAAGTTAATCAACGTACCCAAAGGTAATTTCGGTCGTGAATGCCCTCAATAAACATAAAGGCTTTAGTCTTGCACTACCCATCAAATGTATTGTATTTATAACTTTGCAACCCAAGGTCTCGTTATCATGGCACGTGATACGTTTAGCAACTTCAACTATCTCCACCTTCGCTGAAGAGCCCTGAAAACACCATGACTCTTTCAATCTTTCTGTGCGTCATTCCGCCTTTCAATTTCGCAACGTCATTATATAAAGCACGGGAAGTTTCTGAAGACTTAGCGACATAGTTTTTCTTATTACCTGTAAGATCTTATAAAGTACCATGCTTTATTCTGGAACCAGCCACAACCGATATCACAACACTATCCCTCCCCCAAGATGCCAGAAACCTCAGAAGAGCTTGTGCAAAAGCTGGTGGTATGTTCATTTATTATTGTTATAATGGCTTCAGAGCGTATATATCTAGTTGCAGAGTCATGGAAGCGAACTTTGGAACCAGTATGGCACCAAGACATCGTGAGAATGACTATGAGATATAATATCGTGTTCATGCACTGCCATAGATAAGAGACTTCATACTCACATATGATGTTGCAGGAAAAATTCAGGTCGCTCCTGGACGAAGCCCTCGTAGTTGCCATCGCCAGCGACCATGATCTCACAGAAGCTTCTCAGTACAAGTCAGCTCAGACTGTCTTAGAAGATCTTGCCCAGCATGTCACAACAGAAGAAGCAACTGGATTCAACCCAAGTGGCATCTCGAATATACCTGAAGATGTGAATGGCGATGAGAGTACAGCTGAGACGAGCAGCCAACAGACCTCTCGTGCTCACGACACAGATGCCACTTCCGCCAGCGATCAAACTGCATCGACAACAAACACAACTTACTCCATACCCAGACTCACCTCATTTGATGATGATAGCGAGGAGAATAAAGTCCTTCTCCTCCAAAGCATGTTTAGTGAGCTCAAGGAATTTGACATCAAACACTCACTGAAAAAGGCAAATGGTGATGTGCAGAGTGCGCTTGATGACCTACTCAACATCCAGTATCTTAAATCAACAGGGCAAGAGCAGAAGGGCATTGACGGCTTCTTTGAGCCTGACGAAGCCGCCGGGAAGAAGAAGAAAAGGAACAAGAAGAAGGGCAAAAAGGCTTTCGGAAGCGAAACACCATCACCCAGCAGTGAGAATGCCTCTCCATCCCCCGATGATCTAAAAGAGTTGAAGCGTATGTTTGAACCGATCATTCACCAGAATGTGATAACTGACTGTCTGACCTAGGCCAGGACGAGATCGCATATCTAGCAGACAGGCTGGACTTACCCTTTGGAGTAGTCTCCGATATCTACCACAACAAACGCTGTGCGAGTGGTGCCGCTGCAGTTGAGATCTTGCATCGATACATGTCGCAGGGCATCGAAACCCAGGACAAAGAGGCAAAGAAATATGCACAGGAACTCGCCCAAAAATATCAGAATGTCCCAGAGAAGTTTATGTCGACAATCGTTCAGGTTACGGGCTCCACATCGCAAGAATCAGACGACATCGCGGCGCTTGTTAGCAAACATTTCGTCAAGAATCCCTGGACACAGAAGCTTGAGGTCAGTTATCAGCTGACGCCACTACCTGTAGAGGATATCGAAGGATTCGAGACCGTCACGCGAGGAAAATCTAAGCTAGCCCGGCCGGTATCAGGAAGCACGAGCTTTCCCGTCGGCTCGTCAGCGTACGCGCAAGCTGCTGAGAGAGCCAGCCAATACAATCGAGCCAAACGAGAAGCAGCCGCTTCGGCAGCATCCTTAAATCGACGTGGTGCCTCTAATCCACTCTATCGACAGGCAGCAGGTTATTATTCTGAAAGGGCACGAGAGCAGGCTCGATATGAAATGCATGCTACGTCAACGGCGGCAAATCTACTCGTTGATAAGCAAAGCACATCAACTTCGATTGACTTACACGGCGTTAACGTGCAGTCTGGTGTGAGCATTGCTCGCGAGAGAGTCCAGTCCTGGTGGGCTGGTCTGGGAGAGTTTCGGTCTGATAAGGCTCGACAGCAGCCGTTTACTGTCATAACTGGACTCGGCCGCCATAGTGCTGGTGGTGTGTCACAGCTGAGACAAGCCGTAGCTGGAGCTCTCCTCCAAGACGGGTGGAAGATGCAGATTGAGACTGGACGCTTTCTCATCAAGGGTAGGCGATAAACGCCAAGATAAAGAATGCCTTGCGGTGGCTATCTCAACTATATTTTGGAAATATTCCGCATTGACCCGCATTAGCCAGATCGGCAATTTTCACGACAGCTCATTGCTCAAACGGCCAGAAGGGATAACACTCACCTCAAGGGCTGGCCGTGTTGGAGTTCTGGACCCCAAATTCAAGCAAAGGCTTACGCAACCTCTGATCCACAAATGAGCCCGAAACAGTCATGACAACCAACTGCATGTTTTCTGCGTCTGCCCTGGCGAATAGATGAGCGGAAATAGTACTGTTAGTGCAGCCATCACTATGGAAACTCGGGCCATGCAGCTTTAAGGCTGTGCTAGGCACACACGAAACACGATCCTTCGCTCCATGCGCTAAACCTCTGCAAAAGACCAGAGCAAACGCGGCGGTTTCCTAGATAGGATATGGTTTCGCTTTTATTTTGTCATATCGTGCCCCCGTGGGTGCCATCACGGTGCCCTTGTATAAGTACTGAGCAGTCCGCCATGAGATACCAGTATCACAACTTACAAGGCTGAATCAAAATCGCGGATCACTCCCTCATCGACACTTCAGTATGGCGGCCAAGAACCAGTCAGGACAGTCTTCTTATGAGCCTCTCCCCAGAGAGGACCCCGCAGCTGCGCTGCTGTCACCATCCGAGCGGGAGGATAGAGACGATGGGAAGACGCCCGTATTCAGACTCTCTTTCTCACCTATTCTGTTGTTACGATTGATGATTGTCCCTATCGTCATCACCGATGTAGTTTTTATCTGCATGCCGCGGAGCTCCCCAGGATCAACAGCCGCATTCGCAATGGGTGGAATCTTCTTGGTTATGTGGCATGCGTCCCGTGTCTTCAAGAGCCTCCTCCCCGGCAGGAAGAGCAACAAGTTCGACCTCAAGATCGGAAACTTTTTCTGCACCATTGGCACGACTTCGCTCGCATCACGGACAAGCCGTGGAGCGTGGACTTATCTTGTCAGCGCTATCGACTTTTCTTTTGGTCTTTTCTTCATCGGACCCAGTGTCCTGTCCTTCACTGCATATAACTGGTATTATGAAGACAATGTTTCGGGTCTGAGTCTTACTGTTGTGTAAGTATCCGACTGATGGTTTCGGTCATTCAAGATATGCTGATAGTGTATTACAGGATCATGCAGTCGGCCATCGCTGTTCTCAACCTGATCAGTCTTTTCCGCAAGATGAAGATCGTTGTCTACAGGGGCGAGGACGATGAGGACTACCTGTATTCGATCCCTGACCTCGATGTCTTCCGAGATGAAGTTTCTGAGCCCCGCGACTCGATGGCTTCTGAGGTCTAGAGGACCAAATCGGAACTTTGCTAAAGAAACCCAGTACCTGTCCTCTATCCCTTTCATTCAACGGTAGTACCTACCACAAAGACTGAGGCTAGGAGGGCCATGGATTAGCCCGTTACGATAATATTCTGAGAACAATATCCAGCTGAAAAGTGCATATGTAGTCTGAGAAAACTGTATTTTGCTGTCGTAGTGACAGACGGTATAGATAGCTTTCACGTAGCATAACGTGACATACGAATTGAAATTGCCGTATACCTTCATCTTCTACTGCTTCTGTCGTTGAAGATTCTGTCCAACCCTCTCCCATACAGCCTGACCTGTAGTAAAAGTGGTGATAAACATGGCCAAACTAACCAAGCCGGGCTCAAGCTTGACCCAGCCAACTGTAGTGGTAGGAAGAAGCATATCAAGGAGATCAGAAACGAGAGCGCGGAGGAGAACGTAGCCCTCTCTCTTAAACTTCTTGATCCAAGCACGTCTTTCGGTCTTGCGTTTATTGACGATGCTCTTGAGACGCTCACGCTCCTTGTCGAGATCGTCCTTGGTCATTTTTTCAGAGAGAACGGCAGTCTCCTTCTCTGCAGTGATAAGTTCAGCTGGCTTCTCAGTAGAGCTGATGCTGACAGTCTCGCGCTTGACAGAGGCAGGAGTACCAGCGACTAATCGATACAGTCTGATAACCGTGACAAGAACAGAGGTGTACAATCCAGCAAACCAGAAAAGTTGCGACTGGTAATCAATCTCCTGGAACCTCTCAGCACTAAAGACACGGAGGTTCTCGATGCCGCAGAGATCGAGGAGGGTCAAAGTCTCCATCATGCCGAACATGCCGAAACAAGTCTTGCTAATGATATCAAGCCACATATCAATGCTCTTGTCACCCTGGGCGACGTAGACGAGCCATCCTGCGCGGAAAGTGTCCAAAAAGCGGAAGAACCGAATGAAACGTCGGGAGACGTTGATCTGGCCGCCTAGAGCGCGGAGAGATAATGTCGATGGCACCTTAGGCTGGATAAGGGCAAATAGAGCCGGATACCAGACTAGAAGAGAGCATATCGCTTGAAAACCACGGAGAATTCGCTCGATGCCGACTGAAAATAGTTAGTGAGTGCGTCTTCTGAGGATTTGTGAGAGAAATACCAAGATCCGTGCCAAAAGCAACAAAATGCTCGTATGTTCCCACCATAACTGCTAGTCTACCGAGACAGAGGTGTAAGAGACAAAGTGAAAGAACTCGAGATTTATGCCACGAATTTATATACGTCTAATGCAAATGAACAGAAAATTACAAATCATTGACCCCTGGTGGTTAGGTTGTTTGTTGAATAGGCGGTGTTGATGGGGCCAGCCAGTAGTTCAGTGTTAGTGGACCCTTACATCCATGATAAATACGGCAATTTGAAGCGACTTCTATATGAGTGAATGATACAGTATTCTCATACGCATTTAGGCTGCTTTTTTCCCCCCCAATAAGAAGAGGAGTCATGCGGGCAAACATAGTTTACTTTACCAACTCTTACTCCCATTGAACAATAAGTAAATATAACACATGGCATCTACCTAATAGTTGTAGTTATGCACAAGTACGATGCAAGACACGTCAAGCTTGATTCCTTCCTCTCTCCATACCCTTTTCTACTCTAGATACCAATTATTGACCGGGAGACACCAACTTGCCTTGGGCTCTGGCATTATGGTTCCATCCACCAGCAAGGGCCTCACCACCATGCTCCTGAGAGAACTTCTGGATACGAGCCTCAAGCTCGGGTCGGAAGTGTCGGATAAGACCCTGAATAGGCCAGGCGAAGGCCTCTCCCAGAGCTAAGCACCATTAGTACAACGTTATAGACAAGTGGTTGACATGAGAACTTACCGCAAATAGTGTGGCCCTCGACCTGCTTGGTGAGCTCCTGGAGCATGTCAATCTCACGCTCACGAGCCTGACCCTTCTCAAATCGCTTCATCATCTGCTCTGTCCACTTGCTACCCTCTCGGCAAGGTGTGCACTGGCCGCAACTCTCGTGGCGGTAGAAGTGGCTGAGACGGCTGATAGCTCGGACAATATCGGTGCTCTTATCCATAACGATAACAGCAGCAGTGCCAAGACCAGACTGGCTGTCCTTGAGGGCATCAAAGTCCATCAGTTGGTCATCGCAGACGTGCTTGGGGAGAACAGGAGTAGAAGAACCACCGGGGATGACAGCCAAAAGGTTATCCCATCCACCTCGAACACCACCACAGTGCTTGTCAATGAGTTCACGCAGAGGAATGGACATCTCCTCCTCAACAGTGCAGGGGTTGTTGACATGCCCAGAAATACAGAACAACTTGGTGCCCTGGTTACGCTCACGGCCGAAGCCAGCAAACCAGCTTCCTCCTCGTCGGCAGATAGTAGGGGCAACGGCAACAGTTTCGACATTGGTAACAGTTGAAGGGCATCCGAAAAGACCGACGGCAGCAGGGAACGGAGGCTTAAGACGAGGCTTTCCAGGCTTGCCCTCTAGAGACTCAATAAGAGAAGTCTCTTCACCACAGACGTAGGCACCAGCACCTCGGTGCAGGTAAACATCGAAGTCGTAGCCGGAGTCACAGGCGTTCTTTCCGATCAGGCCGGCGGCGTAGGCCTCGTTGATGGCTCGCTGGAGAACGGCAGCCTCCTCGACAAATTCACCACGGATGTAGATATAGGCGGCGGTTGCGTTCATGGCTCGGCCAGAAATAAGGCATCCTTCGATGAGCTTGTGTGGGTCCTTTCGCATAATCTCACGGTCCTTGCAGGTTCCGGGCTCACCCTCATCGGCATTGACGACAAGGTAACGGGGCTTGGTGTCCTTGTCCCAGTCCTTGAAGTTCATGAAAGACTGCAGAGCGTTCGGTTAGAGACAATAGATACTGGTTTGGCCTCCTGGCCCGTGAAACCAATCTTGGAGAAACCTACCCATTTGAGACCCGAGGGGAAACCAGCACCACCTCGTCCTCGAAGACCGGAGGCCTTGACCTCGCTGATGATCCAATCGTGTCCCTTGAGGATAATCTCCTTGGTCTTGTGCCAATCGCCCATCTTCCTAGCACTCTTGAGGTCCACGGGATATCGGTTATAGAGGTTCTGGAAAATGCGATCCTGGTCTCGTAGACCACCGTATGTTCGCTTCGGGGCGCCGTCCTGGACAGTAGCCAGACCCCTCACGGCGGTCCGTGAGAGGCCGACGGCCTTCTTGGGCGCCGTTCTCGTGGACAGCATTGTGCTCGATCGTTGTCGGGTGGCGGTTTGGAGATGGTTGAACGTCAAGTTGCGGCACTTCAAGTTTCCCGGCGAGATCCATTTCGTGACCAGGCCGTTCAGAAATAGCGGGCTAGTGATTGGCCAATCCATTACGCGATTATTCAGCCACTCTAGTTAGCCAGGACTTTGCTCCACACCAATTCTCACATACTAGCACAAGTTCTTCATATCATTTCTGTTAAGCGCATCGATTGCCTTTCCCCCCCGATTTGCCTCCAACCGATATCCTGGAGTCATAGATCCTGGTAGCGTTGCATCACGTAAGCAGTCAGGGAAGGGTTTCTATTCGACGGACTCGATCTGCGGTGTCGCAACACCAACTCGAGTACCGTGGGCTTTGTATATACAAGCTTCACCTCGGCTTCCTCCGTCGTGTTGATGAGAAATGACCACTGACATCTGTGCAATGATAACCTGAGTCGCATTCATCATGTCTAGCAAAAGGCATTCCATTCTCCCCGCTATCGATCGCAGTGGTCCTAGGCCTCCCGTCCATTTCTCAGACTCCCTGACCATCTCCGATAATGCGATTCTCCAAGGAACACATTCGATCACGATACAATCAGAAACGGTAGTACACCCTCGGTCAAAGTTTGAGTCAAACTCCGGATCTATTCTGATCGGGCGACGATGTCTCATTCACGAACGAACACACCTGGGAACTCAGCCTGTCGACCCTGATACTGCGCAGCGTGGTGGCATCGTGCTGGCAGACTTTGTTACAATTGAGGCAGGCAGTGTCATTGAAGCCGGCAATACCGAGATCGGCGAGGGTACGGTAGTTCACGCTGGGTCAACTATTGGGAGTGGTGCTAGGATCGGCAAGGTAGATACGAACCCCCATCTTGATGATCAGGAGCTGACATTATCTAGAATTGCACCATTACGCAAATGACAAAGATTGCCCCCGGAACAATACTCCCTGACAATACTGTCGTCTTCTCGAACGGGTCAAGACGAATCGATCGACGCAACCTTGCTGATCAGAGGAAGATTGCCTTAATGAAACAGCTCGCCATCCTGCGAAAAATGATACCCAGTAACGCCGACAAATTTAAATAAGATACCCATAGATGTACTCTATTGAACGACCTCATTATATGTATGATACTGCTCGGCGGATCTCGTTTTGGGGAAGCTCCTTTGTTCTATTACCAGATTGATCACAAAGAATCTACAGACACATTCTCCATGAAGTATAGTAACACCTCCGGAGCATCAAACAATACCGAATAGCAATCTCATCATAACGGGTAAGGTGCAGCAATGCCTACAGCTCATATTAAATATTAGTATTGCCCAGTGAGGGTATTTGGTACATTAATCAAGATCGAGATATAGGCAGTGCCTTCATGAGACGAGTCAAGACCGTCATCTTCGGTCTCTGTGAAATAAGGCCAGCCCTGTTATCACCACCATAATAGCCCATCTCTCTCCAAGAAGTCCTGTCAAGCCCGTTCCCATAAATCGAAAATGCGCAACCTTTGTTAAACTTCTTCCATCGCCCATCGTCCAAGCTGCAACAACTTCGTTTCCTTGGCTATCTTTGAAGCCGCCTGGTGCAAAAGCCATATTTCCCCCTCCAGGAGCACCACGGCTCATACGCACAAGCTTCCAGCCATAATAATGACCACCCAAGCTTGCTATGACATCTCCACGTGAGCGCCGCCACTCGAATCTCTCCCGTGGTCCATTGCCTCCTGGTCCGACTTCAATAGCAAAGCTATAGCCTGTACCGAGACCACTGTGTGAACCTACTGGTTCAACTACTTCACGTGCCAAAGGAGCTCCCGAGCCTGGCACTGGAGGCAATTCGACTTCGAAACTAGCACTCATGAACATGAAACTTGCAGAAGCCAGAGGTGAATATGACGGGCCTGGACCAGAGTGTAGAAGAATTGGCGGTAGATCACTCAGGCCGGAATGTGCGGAGTAGAGATATAGAGGGTGGTTTTGATGTTCAGCAAGTGTATAAGAATTATTGGGCCATCCTTGATAATAGAGATTGAACGCCGGCGGGAATTGGCGTGGGACAGCTGGAGGTTGGCTGGGGCCGGCAGTTGGAGGAGGAGGAGCTTGGGATGCTGATGATGATGCTTTGGGCGGAGCTGCAGCAGCAGCTGCTGGTGGAGGTTGTGCCGGGAGCTTCTTGTGCTGGTTCTGACTCTCGGCGTATGAAGGCGGAGGCTCATCTGGAACATCAGAGGGATTCATTTTCATTTGAAAGGTTTAGGGCCTAAGGTGTGTTTGAGAGGTGTGTATTGGTAGTGGAGGTGAAGCTGACCACAAGTGAATGCGATGACGTCGTCAGTAACGTAGCTAATAGTCAGTCCTCACAAGAAAAGCAGTACTAGTAGCTCGTATCGTGGATTATAGAATTTCTACTTGGTTGAGTATAGTGATTGAACAAGTCCAGAAGGCAGTGTCAGCGAAAGTGAACAGGTTTTGTATAAAAGCCAAGAGGTTGAGGTCGTGCTGTAGTGATATCAGTGTATTACGTAGAAAGAATGTGGCTGTGAGCTGAGTTTGTGGCTATGCATGTTACACTTTCAGCTTGAGCCTTGTCTCTTATGCATGCATAACTGGAAGACTGTCAAGGCTCCGTTATAAACGGTGGCTGCCAGACCACGGCAAAGGCAGCCGACGGTATGTGGGAGACAGACAAGTTGTGCATGATTCGGTACCCGCCAAGAATATCGCTGGATCAGGGGTCTTCTGACACGTCGTCACTTATATGGAGCTCCGGATATCCTGGGATGCACCACGTCCTGTCGTTGTGAGCTATTCCGGGGAAGTCGGCTTTTGAAAATGCATTGTCGTATCCACTTGTAGCTCATGAAACCAAGGCTAAAACTGCAGTTATGATGTCGACGCTTGGAGGAGAAAATGGCATGTTCAAGCCA